GTGAAGGCCAAGATCCAGGATAAAGAGGGCATCCCCCCAGACCAGCAGCGACTCATCTTTGCCGGCAAGCAGCTGGAAGATGGGCGCACTCTTTCTGACTACAACATCCAGAAAGAGTCCACCCTGCACCTGGTCCTCCGTCTGAGGGGTGGCTATTAATTCTTCAGTCTGCTTTCCCAGTGGGCAATGGTGGCATTACTCTGCACTATAGCCATTTGCCCCAATTTAAGTTTAGAAATTACAAGTTTCAGTAATAGCTGAACCTCTGTTAAAAATGTTAATAAAGGTTTTGTTGCATGGTAAGCATATATGGTGTCATTTGTGAAATTTCTGTGGTGGTGTGGGTAGGGGACCTCAGCTGTTTGTAATTTTCATCACAGCTTGAATGAGTTGGGAACTTGGCTTAAAAGTTAATGACAAATCTATAATATCATTTTGCAACAAAATGGGGGGTGGGTCCCGCACAGCCTTTGGGGGAAAGCAGACTTACTTGTCTGAAGCTCATCAAAATAGCTAGTTTTGGTTGAGCTCTTTGAAAGGTGGTGTGTTTAGGTACCTTGGGAGAAGGGGGTTGTTAGCTCATTACCCTGAAATACATGCTTTACTCATTGCTTGCTTAAGGTACTGGTTGGTTGGGGTAATTCCCTTGACTAGGAAGAAGACCTCCACACTTGGAGAAGTGGTAAGTTACGGAAAAGTTCAAAACCTGTAGGAACACCTGTGGGTGGAAGGTTTGTATCCTTTAATCCTAAAAGTTTTTAGGAATATTTTTGAGACAGTCTCACCCTGGCTGGCCTGAAATTCAGATCCATTATGTCTCCCCAACTTGCTTTCAAATAAGATTTAAAGGCTGACATATTAGGGTTCACCAAGAACTCGAACCCACCAAATATGCCCAACTGTTTAACTTGAAGTTAATGTCTTAGGATTTTTAAAATGCTTTTGTAGCTGTTACCTTCTGGCTGGAGATGAGGTTTGTAGAATAAATGAGATCCCTGCATTTAATCCTAGCCTTGAGGAAGCAGAGGAAAGGCCAGTTTGGTCTACATATAGTGAGTTCCAGAGCTAAAAGAGCCTGTCAACAAATTGAAATCTAGTTGGAAGCAGGATCACATGATACCTGCAATCTTATCCTTTTAATAGCTAAATGCCAGCCTGTTAGGTGAACTTTGTGTATGAGTAACAAGCATTTCAGCAGTAAACCTGAATTTTAAACATGTATCTTTCCCATGTTCCCCTCTTTAATTTACTGGAGGACAAATACATTGGGATCAAACCAAGTGGTCTGGCTTTTGCAAGCAGCTTGATTTGAGCTGTTACCAGCCCTCTTTTGAACCCCCTTCTCTTTTATTTTCTTTACCAAAAAATATATCCCAGACTAGTTGCTTTGAGCTAAAATCCTACCTCTCTCTGCCTTTTAGAATAAACTCCCTGCATGGGTTTTGTGTTTTTGTTTTTTTGTGGTTAGAAGACAGTCTAGGTAGCCCAGACTGCACATTATAGTCCAGGCTAGCCTCATTCAACAAGCTCTATCTGCTTCCTAAGTATTAAAAATGTGTGCCATCTTGCCTAGGAATTTTTGTTTTGAGGCGGCCTTTCTATATAGTCCTGGCTGTCCTGGAGTTCCCAATGTGGAGCAAACTGGTCAATGAACTCAGATTCACCTGGCTTTGAGTGCTTGGATTAAAGACCTGCGCTACCTACCACACATGGCTGGCTGGCCAGGTAGTTTTTAACCTTGTAGGTCTCATGGAACTGCGTACAAAATTGGAATTTGAACAAGGAGAAGACACTTATATGTTGACTATTTTATATTTAATATTTTAGTTTTTTTTTTTGTTTGTTTTGGTGAGTTTGTTGAGTGTAGTGACACCTCTCTACTCAAGAGGCTAAGACAGGCTCACCTATAGTTCAAGGTCAGGGTGAGTTGCCTCAAATCCTCTGCACTGAATAAAAAAAAAGGTAATTTGTAGTTGTGGTCCCCACTTCTCTCGATTGCTGAAGAGATGGCCCATGCAGCTTTGTAAGGAAATGTGACTAGGAGGTGGACATCTTTATTTTTAAAGATTTTTATTATGTTCTGCCTGCTTGTATGTATGCCTGAACACCAGAAGAGGGCACTAGATCTCATTACAGATGGTTGTGAGTCACCATGTGCTTGTGGGAGTTGAACTCAGGACCTCTGGAAGGGCAGCCAGTGCTCTTAACCTCTGAGCCAACTCTAGCCTGGAGGTGGACCTTGCTCTGAGATAATATAGCAAGAGGAGAGTTGATAAAATTTCTTGAAGTTGGGCATGCTGGTATGTACCCGTAACCCCCAGCACCCTGAAGGCTGAGGTAATTTGGCTCCAGGCTAGGCCAGACTATGACATTTCAAGTAAGGCCTACATGGTGGGTGGAGACAGACTTCACAAGCTGCCCTCTAGTATATACACATGTACAAATAATGTAATTTTTAAAGTCTGAGGGCCATCACTCTTTCAGGTTCTCCTCTGTCAGGAACAATGTTGATTCCAGTCTAGACTAGATGCTAAAGAATACATGGGCTCATCTTGGTGCATGTCTTTAATCCCAGCACTGCCACAGGCAGTAAAGGCCTGAGTGAGGCCAGCCTTGTCAAATAGTAAACTGAGCCAGCCAGGGCTACACAGTGAGACCTCATCTCAAAAAACATAAATATGGGAGCCAGGCATAGTAGCACACGCCTTTATCCCCAGCATTTGGGGGGCAAAGATAGGTAGATCTTTTGAGTTTGAAGCAAACCTGGTCTATATAGTGAGACCCAGGACAGCCTGGGCTAAGAGACCTTTTCTAAAAACAAACTTCAGCTCCCCTCATAGGCCCACCAGCCCTGGCGGTTAAGATGGAGAAAGACTTGCCTGGCACACCATCTGCCTTGGAATTGCTGCGTTCACAGAACAAGCGGGCACCCTCAGTCATAACTTCGTTTCCCCTCTAAGGAATTCAATAAAGGGGTTGTGTTAGTCTCGTGTGCGTGTGCGTGTGTGTGTGTGCACGTGATGCGATGCTGGGGATCAATGCAAGACAGGCACCCTACTGCTATCCCCAGCCTTTTTATTTGAGGCAATGTCTCATAGTCCAGGCTGGCTTCAAATGCCCTATGTAACAAAGTATGCCCGTACACCATTGCTCGGGACTCCATAGCTGTTTGTTTTTGAGGAGAAAGAGTAGGTTTGATTTGGTTTTTGTTTGAGATAGAGCCTTATTCTTTTCTGGATTGCAGGAGTGTTCCACCACACACAACTCTGGACTCCTTTAAATTGTAATTATTCTGTGTGAGTGTGTGTGCATGGGTGTGCAGGCAGTGATGTGCACGTGAAGGCCAGAGAACACCCACATGGACTCCACAGTACTCTCCTTCCACTTCTGGAGACCAAATTCAGATGTATGTGGATGAGCCAGCAGCCGCCAACACTCGCTCTGTCTGCAGCTTCCCTGGAAGCTGGTTCCCAAACACCTGACTCAGGGTAATGGTTCTCAACTTCAGAAGATGGCCTGCTCTTCTTTTACATCCAACACTTTAGTTCAAAATTTTTTTAAATTGACTTCTAGATTAACCTAACTCCTGTCTCTCCTCCTGGGCTTTTCTTGGAAGCAGGCAGCAGAAATTACTGGAACAATGTGCATGGCTCCTGTCCCCACAGCAGCAAGACCTTGAGAAGGGAGAAGGCACAGAGCCAGGAAGCTTAGAGAAACAAGGTCATGGCTGAGTGTGGCAGTACATGCCTTTAATCCAACGGTTCTCAACCTTCCTAATGCTGCACGCTTTAATACAGTTCTTCATGTTGTGGTGACCCCAACCATAAAATTATGTCATTGCTACTTCATAACTGTAATTTTGCTACTGCTACGAATCGTACTGTAAATATCTGATATGCAGGATATCTGATATTTGACCCCCCCAGAAGGGGTGGCGACCCACAGGTTGAGACTACTGCCATCCCAGCACTCAGGAGGCCGAGGCAGCTATTGCAGTTCCAGGCCCACCAGAAAAAAGAAAATCAGAGAATTTTAATGGAGAGAGATTGGCTGGTGGGAGTAGTAGGTCAGGAAGGCTCACTTATAGTGTAACTAAGGTTGACAATAATTAGATATTTCAAAATAGCTAGTAGAATAGTGAACACTGCCAACACAAAGAAAATGATCATGTCTAAAGTGGAAGATACGTCAGTCACCCTGGTCGGAGCAGTACGTTTGTATACATGTATTGAAATGTCACATAGAACCCCAGTATGTCAATTAAAAACTTAAGAAGAAGCTGGGCATGGTGGCACATGCCTTTAATCCCAGCACTAGCGTCAAAGGCAGGCAGATCTCTGGGTCTGAGGCCAGTCTGGTCTACAGAGTGAGTTCCACAACAGCCAGAGCTACAGAGAGAGATTCTGTCTCAAAACAAGAGGCCTGGATACATGGTCCAGCAGTTAAGAGCACTGACTGTTCTTCTAGAAGATCCAAGTTCAATTGCAGACACCCACTTGGAGACTCACAACCATCTGAAATTCCAGCTCTAAGGGATCCGATGCCCTCTTCTGGCCTCCAGGCACACATGTCATGCACAGACATGGATATAGGCAAAATACTCATACATAAAAAATAATAAAATATTCAAAACAACAACATTTTTTAAAAAGAAGCCAGGCCTGGAGGAACAGATTTATATCCGAGTTATTTGGGAAGGTGATGAAAGGGATCAGTATTGGCTTAGGATACCCCAAGACCAAGTTCTCAGCACAAAGGAGATTTATTTGCCACAGAGGACAGGGAATAAGGGAGAAAAACAGGAGACAGAGGACAAGGGAGAGGGGGAAGGGATATTTGTCCCAGAGGACAAAGGATAGTGTGCATGAGTGTGTGTGCATGAGTGCGAAGAGGAGACCTTAGGCCAAAGGCAGTTTTTAAAGATAAAAGAGGTAACATCTTATCAGGATGAGATTTCATTTTAATTGAGCATGTTAGTTAGGGCAGCCAAAGGAAGTTTTTGATTGCTGGATTTCAATACTTTGATAGCTGGACCTTGGTGGTCAGCCTCAGGAGGAGGAAGTGGCCAAACAAGGGAATAGACCTTGGTGTCTAGCTAGCTTTAGGAACGTCGTCTAATGGTTTTTAGCAAGGCAGAGGGAGTGGGGGGGGGGAAGGGCAAGGCCTGCCAGAGCCATGTTTGCCATGCTCTAGCGGGCTAGGGTCCCTTCAAGTGAGGTAGGAGAATTTGAAGTTCAAAGCCTTCCTAGGATGTAGAGTTCAAGGCCAGTCTGTGCACTTCAGTGAGAGAAATTAAAAATAAGGGGGT